TCATTATTATATTATTGTTTATTTTCAAATTACTTGTATGTAGATAAATATACATGAACACCCAATTAAGGAGAAATCTAAAAGATTTTGTTTTTTTTACTAAACTTTTTGTCATAAAAATTTTGAAATTCTTAGTTTCTAATTTTATTTTAAATTAGATTTATACTCACGTACACGTACCATTTTATTAGTGTATTAAAATATAAGGAAGGTGATTGAGAAAAGTTAAAAGGTCAATTTATTATTTATTGTATTGTATTATAAATGTAAATTTATTATAAAATAATGTAATCAACCTCTTTAATGTATTGAAATATATCAAGGTTAAGGGGCAAGACAAGCCAAAGTCTTATTTACCAAAAAAGAAAAAAGAAAAAAACACACAATATAGTGAAATTCTTTGTACTTTTAATAATAGAAGAAATAAATTTATTATTTATTTATTATAAAATAATGTAAATAATGTACTGAAACTCTTTAATATAATATATATAAAGAGAGTATAAATATAGACGTGTATGTGTGTGTATATATATATATATTTATTTATTTAATTTATTCCATTATAATATTAGCATCCAAATTAGATAATATTCCCCTCATAAAAAAATAAATATACATGCAAAAATTATATAAAATATTTTTATAAATATATTCCTCTTGAATACTCCACAATATTAGAGTGGAAGAAAGAAAGAAGAAGAAGCTAGAAGTTAGTTGTAATGGGTGGGTACTTGTCCATTTATTCAAAAGATTAAGTTATTGAGTAGTGTTGTATACCTACCCATTTATACCCTTTTCACTTTCCATTCGGATCAGATGTGGGACAAGCTCTTCCTTGTTACATTCTCTCTCACCTGAACTCGCAATGCCCTCGTTGCGACTCAGGCCACCCTGCCTACCCGAGGTGCAGACCCAGACGCCCTCGGCCAAGTGCTTGACATGCTACCAGATCAAGGATAGGGTCTGACTCTAATATCAACTGTAACAGGTGGGTCAACTTACCAAAAAACTTAATCTATTGGGTAGTACTGTGTACACACCCACTTATACCTTTTAACTTTCCATTCGAATCTGATGTGGAATAAGCTTCCCGTTACATTAGTCCCATAAACAATTTTAGCCTTAGGCGCTGACAACTATAAGACAATGTTATATATCCGGTAAGGTGAGACCTTTATTTTAGTTATACCTAACTTCCAATTAGTCAAAGACCCTCAAATGAAGTCTTCCTTTTTTGTGGAAAATCACCTTCAGTGAAATAGTACAACCATTTGCTCTATTTTTATGAATGAATAATACTTACCATAAGGGGTAAAAAATTATATTTGTTTTATACAAAATTTTTGTGTATATATATATATATACACTATTCAAATATACTCTTATTTCCTCCCTTATTTCTTCTTCCCTTCCTTTTCCATTTCAACAACCTATTTGAAATAAAATTGAAATCCCGCCACCCAACTACCCTTCTTCTCTCCCAAAATATCAATCAACCCAGTTTAGAATTTAATTTCTTTCCAAATAAATTTTGTTTTCTTTCCAAATAGAAGCAGGAAACAGACTTTATTTCGAAATAGAATAAGCGATTCTATTTCCAAATTGAAGGTTAGATCAGACTTCTCCAAATCGAAGTAAGAGGTACGATTTCTTTGTTTATGCCATTCTTATGGAAATAAGAGGATTTCCTTGAAAATAAAATCTGAAAATTATACCTGTATCCCAAATTATCCTTCTTTGCTATATCACAACAATTTCCCAATTGCATCATAACAATTTCCCAACATTTTCGTAAGATATATCCTAATGTATTTGTTAAGTGGTGCATCATAACATTTTCGTACAAACATCCCAACTTATTTGTAAAGTGCATTCCAACATTTTCCTAAGATAAATCCCAATATTTTTTTAAAGTGCATCCTAACATTTTTATTGTTGGTGTACCATTTAAAATGGTACAATTTCCTTCTTTTTCTTTGCCTAAAACCGCCGTTCTTCACTTGTTCTTTTTCGCCTCACCGCCGTTTTGGTGCATCCCAACATTTTCTTATGGTGAATCCTAACATTTTCCTAAGGTGCATCCCAACTTATCCCAACTTTTCCAACCTAGCCTCAGACCTTCTTTCCTTCTTCTTCGTTTTCCCTTCCCTTCTTCTTCATCTTCATTTATTCGAAATTCAAACCCTAACCCTCAGACCTTCCTTCTTCCTTTCCTCTTCTTCACATCAAACCTTCGATATTCACTTCTTCTTCTTCGCCTCAGACCACCGTTATTCACTTTTTCTTCTTCACCTCACCGCCGTTCTTCACTTCTTCTTCTTCATCTCAAACTACCATTGGTACTATTTCCTTCTTCCCTTTTAGAGAGAGAAAGGAAAACAGCCGTGCCTATCTTTTAGAGAGATAAAGAGAGACACGTATTTTAGAAATAATATTTAAAGTTTATATATATATGAAATACAATATTTAAAGAAGTGGTAAAAAATTAGTTACTCAATTTTTTTAATTGATGGGGCACATTCTCAACCACTTTTTTCAAATGAAGCAAATAGTTGTATTATGCAACCGGAGGTGATGCTGTCCCTCATTTCTCTCAATTTAGTTACAAGACAATGTTACAAAGAGATGCATAGATATGGGTTTGAGATTTTAGGTAAAGAAAAATGATACGAGAAGTGTACCAAACAATTGAAAGAGAGGTCGAATCGCTTGCATGGCCACGTCAAATTATGCTACCTCTTCCTTACGTTTCTCTCTCTTCTCTTCTGATTCTCGATTTTTATCCTCACTTCCCTCGCTCATTATGGTTCTAACTCTCTTTTTTATTTCACAAGATAGAAAATAAAATAAAAATAAAAATAAAACAACCAGTAAAATTTATTAATGTTTGCCAATACCATATGCAAAAAAATAATAATAATAAAAATTGGCTGCAACTGCTGTTTATCTCCTTTAGACTTTTGTATCCGTGCAAATCAAACGAAAACTTTGAGAAGATTCACTGTATTATCTTTTCTCAATTTATTTATTTTATTTTTTTTTAATTCTGTAGTAAATTAATGTATTTTGTAATGACAACTCTTGTGCTTATTTTTTATTTGGGATTAGAAAGATCTCTTCTTGAAGGATATATATTGGAGTGAATCAGAACTTTACACGTCAAGAATTATTTCAATCAATGTGTATACCTTCCATCAGAGAATAGATAAGAAGAATTGATGAAGTTGCTGAAGAAACAGATACAAAGAAGAGGGAGGATCGAAGAGGAAGAGAGAGAAAGGGAACTAGCGTCTTTCGCATTATCAAAGAGTCTCTCTTAATTTTTTTTCTTGATGGGTCTGATTTTAGAGAGAGAAAAGTGAGTTTTAGAGAGAGGGAGTGGGGAAAGAAGAGGACAACCACTTCACTTAAAGATGCATTTTCGCAATTTTAAAAAATAATTTTTAAGTTTTAATTTAACATTATATAATAAAGTCAATTTTGATATTTCACAACTCAATTAAGACATCCGACATGAATAGAGATCACATGATAAGTTCTGTTAATTCGAAAAGGTATTTAATTTATGCATATTTTTTTTTTTTTACAATTGAGAGAAGTTTTATGATTTTAAGTTTAAGAGTAAATATATGATGTAGTATATGATTATTGGGTGAGCTTTAAAAAAAAATAAAAAATTTAAATGGTTGTCAAATACATTTAAAAGTAAAAATAAATAAATAAAAATATATTTAAGTGCAACAACAATTAAATTTTACGCACGTACTTAAAAAAAAATCTAAAGGCTTTAAGGATTTTCACTCCATGAATTTGAAACTTTAGGGAACGCTAATTAAAATTTATGGACTTGCAATGACTTTTTATGGATTACTAGGCCTGATTGGGCTAATTACAATAGGCCTAAACTCAAGATAAAAGTCAATTTAATTTTGGAATTAAAGAGGTACTAAAATGGGGACAATACTTGCTTACTCACCGGTAACTGACAAGTGTTTTTATATTTAAAATAATAAAAAATAATAATAATAATTTGATAACTAGTTGGGTTAAACCCAAATAAATCTGAATCAAATTCTAATTCTTTTTCCTCTCCCTGTTTACCACGCTTTTATTATGTAGAAAAAAAAAAAAAAAAAAAAAAAAAAACACCCTGAAACAAAGAAAAACATCTCGTACTTATATGCTATTTGAGATCAAAATCAATAAATGTCAAAACCCCATAGAGAATTTAAGTGTATACTTTAAAAAAAAAAAAAAAAAAAAAAAAAAAAAAAAAAAAAAAAAAAAAAACAACCAAATCAGCTTCAAATACCAATGTTCCAGAAAATGATGATCCCTGTAGGTGCGAGGTCCTATTTAATTAACTTTGGTAAATAAATTCAGTTGCAAAACATTACATTCGATATCGTTCTAGACACTCTTGAATTCAACGTCACCAATTTTCAATTCCTTTCGAGCCTTGTGGAATTTTTTAAAGATTAGTTAAAGGTGCCATAGATTCCTGTCAATAAAAAAACACCAATTTCTCTCTGTAAAAATATGAGCGCGAGAGAGAAGGGGAGAGGGACAGAACGGATGAGGTTAGGACTTCCACAGAATAAAAGCGTGAAAAAGAGGGAGAGGATAGAGAATTTGAATATGATTCGGATCCATTTGGGTTTAACTCGGATAGCTATCAAATTATTTATTTTTTATTATTTTAAATGTAAGAATACTTGTCAGTTTAGTATTGCGTCATATACGTGGTGAGTATAAGTTTCCTACTCACCGGTAAGTAAGCAAGTATTGTTCCTAAAATGGGATCTGAAGCTTTCTTAAAAGCCCAATGTATTAGCATATGGGCTTAACTATGGCGGTTGGAGTAAGACAGGATGAGACCATTCACTATAGCAGTGGGAGTTGGGTCGGATAAGCCCATTTGTTGGCCCAAGAAGAAATCGCTAGACGATTACGTCGTTGGAACGTTTATTAAAATAGCATCAACATACCTCAGACAGAAGAGAACTCATTGATTTGCGCAATTTTCATCCAACTCGCTGGCCGTTGGTGGGCTCTCTCTCTACTCTCTTTCTCTCTCTATAAGTATAGAGTAGATTCTACTATGTTTCTTTCTGCTCTCACTTAAATCTAGGGTTTCAATTGTGGTTTGAGATGGTGGAGAGAAGGAAACCTTTGGTTCTCTCTTCAACGAAAGCCCTCATCAATTCCGTTCTAAGTTCGTCAAGAACTAAAGAAGGAGATGGAGTTGACGGAAAAACCTCATCGTCGCTGCAGTTACCGGCGGGAATTCTCCAATTATCGAAGGACCGAACTGACATTTCACTCCCGAAGGTGGCCTCTCTCGACGACTGTGTCTTGGTTGGGCTCCCCATTTCTATTTTCAAGAAACTATCGATAACTTCAGGATCACTGGTACGCTTCTTTATTTATTTTCCTGATTCCTTAGAATTTTGCTACAATTTATTAATTTATGACCTTGTTTGGTTTTCCAAAAACAAAAGAAAATATAAGAGAAGAAAACATTTTTTCCCCTTGGTTAATACGTAGCACTCACACCCAAACATCCTCCACCGAAGAATTGTTTGCACCCAAGAGGAGTCTAACCTTATACCTGATGCTTTAAATGTATAATATTTTATGTAATCTTGGTATCCAGAATGTGAAAGATTTGTTAAGACTCAATTGATCAAAATAGTTGTATTAGGCTCAGATAAGTGGATACTTTTGTTTTCTTGAGTTAAAGATAATTAAAAGATTCAGATAACTTTTAAATTGAGATTCAATATCCGAACCTCTTTACTTATTTACAGTTTATCAGGAACCAACCAGAGGATATAGAAATTTTCTAATGTTGGGCTTGGGAGCACTGAATCTTGGATTTGGAATTGGAGGAAAGAGTGAAAGGAGCGGATTCAGTGCTCCCAAACATTTAAGAGAACTTTATTTTAGTTCATGCGTTACATGTGATGATTTATTGATGCATTCAGAAAGCTTATATTTGTGACAGATTGGTATTTTGTGTGGGTTGATTCATGCACTGTAGAAGAAGGAAAAAATCATTTATTCCCATACTATTGCAGAGAAATATAGAAAAAGAAAATATAGCACTTGGAACATGCAATAATCAGGGGTTGTGCTTAATTTCTTATCCTTTTGGTGTGACTTCTTGATATATCACCAATAAACCTGCAGCTAAATAAAGTATGGAAATTCTAGAACGTAGTGGGGGTGGGAGCGGATATCGTAAGAGCCACATTTTTCTTTTCTTTTTTTCTTTTTTTTTTCATTTTCTTTTCCTTTTCCTTTTTTATAAGTCAGCATTACTGATTACTGGTGCTGTAACTCAATGGCTCTTTTCTTAACAGGTTCAACAAGAAATAGAATATATATCCGACAAACATATAATACCCCATCAAAAGTATGGACATTCCGCGACAAATATACATACTTATATAAGCTGAAAAAGTGTGGATTTACATGTAGAGTATGCTCATGGAGCTGCAACAAAAATTAGTGGCTTTAATATGGATATTATTAGTGTAAATTTTATCAACAGATTGGATGTTATTTATGCATATTTTGCAATATTGTTTCTTTGTCGTTACTTAATTAGCCTTATTCTTTATCTAGATTATCATCTACATAATTTTTTTTTCTTTGGTGTCCTAGATTGATGAAACACTTGATTATTTCCTTTTTCATTTTCTCCTGCTAATTATGTATTAGATACTTGTCAAGAATGTTGAGACAAACGTACAGAGAATTGGCCAAGCTGTCGTCCTTGATCCTCCCAAGACCCATGAACACTCATTAGATAGTAGATTACCCTTTTCCCAGTCTTCTCGTGTAATGCTAGTTTTTCCTTCATATAGTCTCCCTCAAATTCATAGTGTGTTGTTGGATCAAGAAGTTGCCTATCTATCTCCCCTTCTGGCATTTAACCTTAGTTTGCATGTATCGTGCCTGAAATTTCTTGTTCACCGGGGGAAAGAAGCTTTGGCATCTTTATTTGAGGTTAACATGGATGATGAAACAAATGGAAAAGGGGGAGAAGCGCCTATCATCAGTGTAGGACTCGAACCTTGGGCTTTATTACCAAGATATGCCTCACACTTGAGGGTTTCTTTTGTGAAGATACCAGAATGTGGTACCTTTGAATCACTTAAAGAAAGTTCGTCTATTGAAGCTGAAGATCGTCAAGAAATGATTGATCTGGCATTACATAATTACTTTGAAACAGATAGATATCTTGCCAGAGGTGATCTTTTCAGTATTTGCATCAATTGGAATTGCAGTTCAGCTTTGTGCATTCCATGCAGCCAAAAGATGCAAAATACCAATGGCACCATCATCTACTTCAAGGTGAATTTTTCTGTTCTTCATATTAGCATGAGATGTCAAGGAATGTCATGACACAACACTCTTATGTGTAAGTAGTTTCATGGCCTCAGGTTGTGGCTATGGAGCCCTCAGATGAACCAGTTCTCAGAGTCAATCGTAGTCAAACTGCCCTTGTGCTTGGAGGGAGTGTTCCTTCTGCTGTTCCTCCAGATTTGTTGATTGCTGGACCTAAAGGCATTGTGCCCGTACAAGGAGACACAGTAAAGACTTTGGCCTCCATACTGACACCACCTCTGTGTCCATCAGCACTTTCATCAAAATTCAGGGTTGCTGTTCTGTTATATGGTTTGCCCGGTGAGTTTTGTTCTTTACAATTTGTTGTTTAGATTTAAAGAGATTTTATTTAAAATAAGTAAATAAATAAATAATTGAAGGGCTTACCGAGGGCGTTATAGCCTAATGGTATATCCTCTACCTCTCAAAGTGGATTGTGAGGGTTCAAGTCCCCATAGGGGCAAAATGGGGGTGTGAGTTTCTTGCCAAGGAAAAATAAAAAAATAAAAAAAATTTGAAGAGCTTCCTGACAATGTTGCTGATCAGGAAGACAATGCTTTAACCTTAGGGAACTTTTGTTAGACATATTTTGCAACACAGAATCAAAGGAGGAAAAAATGAAGGGACTACAGTGGCTTGATATCCTGAATACTGGATTCGTAGACAAGGTTTGTGAATAATTGTGGCGACTATTCTTGAATAGCCTCTTGTGAAACAGTCAAATGTCATAACTTCTCAATTCTGCTATTACACACTTATTTTTTTTCCTAAATGGAGGAAAATTTTATAGATATAAACAATATAGTACAAGAGGAAAAGTGAGGGCATACCCTTACAAACAACACAAGATCCTTGAACAAGGAGCACTATCAAGGACAAGCCCTTGAGCATACTAGAAAGAAAAGAAATCAAATGATATCTTGGAGGCATACCCCTAAGACGTCCATCACCTCCCACAAAATACATTTAACCAACACACTGGATTCCTTAAAATTATCACAATGTAGCCTATCATTCCTGTCCCTCCACTGAAAATATAAAGTGGCAGTAAAGAGCATTCTAGACATCTTGTTCTTGACTGATTTACCAGAGAACTGCTGAGAAAATACCATAGTCAAGTCCTTAATTGATTCACACCTCTGTAAGTTCCAATGGCATATAGAAGACAGATGCAACCAGACCTGCCATGAATACTCACCCTGTCACCCACAAAATAAGTGATCCCCATGCTCCACATTGCTGAAGCATAAACAGCACCTTGATACAAGAGATATTCCACTTTGCTGCAAATAGGAGTGAGTTAGAACCGAGTTCTGCAACACCAAAACAGAAAGAGTAGACCATCGAGGTCTACCCCAATCCCAACACAAATTACACCAGAAAACAGTATGCCTCTTGACCCTGCAAGCATTCCAAGCATCCTTAAAAGTAAACATTTATATGCATGCATATGACTGTAATTGTTGGTATTTACTGATTCAGAACTTTTTGCAGGGTGTGGGAAGAGGACTGTGGTTAAATTTGTTGCTCGCCGTTTGGGCCTGCATGTAGTAGAATACAGTTGTCATAATCTGATGGCATCCTCTGAAAAAAAGACGTCCATTATGCTATCTCAAGCTTTCAATGTGGCTCGCAGGTACTTTTGCTCATTTTAGTTGCTCTTAGCATGATCCATGCATGTCGTTATGTAACCAAAACAAAAAAACAAGGAAAAAAGAAGAAAAAAAATGTTGTTACATTACTTAAGTTCTGTAGTGTCATAATCTTGTGACTCTTTGAAATAACTGATAGTTACATGTAAATTTGAATTTTTTAATCCATTCCACCTTCATCACCTTTCAACCCCAACTCCCAATAAAACAGAAAAGAAAAAAATAAAAGGAATATTGAAGAATATAGAATCTTTCTATCCTTATCTTTCTTGTTTAATTGATTTTTTCTTCTGATCAATTTAGGCGAAGTCCAGATAATTATTTCTTCAAAAAAATTTGTCATTTGGCTTCTTTAATATTTTGAATTATCCTGATATGTTGGCAATCGGCGGATACTTAACTCATCTTGCATCTCATCCTCTCACTTCTTCCATTTTTTAATTATAAATGGTTCAATTTCATCTTGATTTGGTATTGGGGTTCATTTTCAATTTTTTATTCTCCTATTCTGCTGTTCTTAAAGTTGAAATGTATGAGCATTGTTGATTATCTATGGTAGTCACCAGTACAGAACATGAATAGAAGATCAAATGGATAAATATTTTGAGCCTATCAGCCTTTAGTGTGTCCAATTAGATATCTTCTAGAATGATCAACAGCAGGTAATTTGACATATCCAATCTTTCAACGCTCAAAAGTGAATCCGGGTGAAAATCAAGAATACAGAATACTCTAGCATGGTCCATGATCAAGTTGAGGTGGTAGATGACCACCTAACAGGTAGGACTGTAGGAAACCTCCAGTAATAGATTTTGGCCATGCATATGTTTCGTGTTTCAATAATAATTTAGATTGCTTTTGCGTTTGTGATACTTATTGTAGGTTGTTCAAGCTTCTTATTCCTCGTTAATTAACTTTTTAATAGATATTCACCCACAATTCTTCTTCTCCGCCATTTTGATGCTTTCCGGAGTCTGGTCTCTCACGAGGGTTCACCACATGATCAAGCTGCTATTAGCTCTGAAATTGCATCTGTTATCAGGGAATTTACGGAGCCAGTTGTTGAAGATGAAGACATCTATTGTGAAGAAAAATCCAATGTTGATTCTGTAAGATTCTTTTTGTTTTGCCTTTTCAGTTCTCTTAACTATTTTTGTACAACAAAAATTTGTTCATCTCACGAGGGAATTTTATTGTATTTGATTATAGATACTATAAGTTATAACCTAATTATAATTGAAAAGATTTACAATTCTTTCTTTCTTCTTTTATATATATTTTTTGTTCGCTTGAATCCTAGTATGCAGCTTTTAATTACAGAAAGCAATAAGCGTTAGGAAAATCTTCATACAGTATGCATCCACAAAAGGAAAAGAAAAAATATATGCCCCTTGGAAGCTCCTCCAGAGTTGATGTACACCACTTGAAAATTTTGCTTCTGAATTTACTTCTTAGCGGAATGGATTTGACCAGTGAATGGAAGATTCAAGTTTCAACAATTTATTTAAAGTGACTAAAATAATTCCAATCGTGATGGATCACTAAGCCTCTATTGAGATTTGGCTGAATTTTTCATCTTTTAGCCTCTTTTAGAAGACCCTTCAGGAAAAAGAGAAAAAGACAAAGGAAATAAGTGAAGTGAGTAATTTGCGTCACATAATACCTCTCTCATAAAATCCTCTTTCTCATACGGCTTTCAGTTCGAGAAATTTATTGTACAATTATGATTATGCCGAAATCAGAAGGTTGCAACTAGGACCTAGAATTCCTTAGGAGCACCCGCCTAACTTTGGGATGAACAGGACTTCAGGATTCGGAAAAAAGTTGAAATGGAAAAAACTATTTTTCTTAAAAATATTCATAGGGTATGTCTTCTGTTATATTTTGCTGATGCAGCAAGTGAACAGTGCTGAAAAGATAAGCAGGCATCAAGTGTTGTTAGTTGCAGCTGCTGACAGTTCTGAAGGTCTGCCACCAACTATCAGACGCCGTTTCAGCCATGAAATCAGCATGGGTCCTTTGACTGAAGAACAAAGGGTCGAAATGCTGTCCCAGTCACTTCAACATGTTTCTGAACAATTTCCGGATGTATGTGAATTATACTCTTTCTGTTGTCTTTTTTATATGGAATTACGATGAGTTTGACTCCTTTATCCATTAGATCCAAAAAATAAAATCCCTTCACTGCCACCTGATATCTCGAACATGTACTTCTGACCCAACATGCTGAGGGTTCTGGTCTGTGAATTTAAACCAGATGCTAAGAAGTAAGGTTGATCTCTAGTTTTTAATGTACATATATGTTTCAAGTGTCATGTTGAAATTTACATTTTTTTTTTATCAGTAAAAAATAACGTCATGGTACAAGCATCAGATGGAGTCAATTTTTGCTTGGGATGTATATGCTGAACCTTTTGGCAAATGATTTAAGATCTCTATATGCTACATTTTCGTTATGTACGATCATCAAGTGTTTATCTTGGTGGTTGTTATGGTCTACGCAAATAGATTTTACATCTTTTCATGATAATAATTTTATTGGTTATAACTTGTGTACTGTGGTCATGGCTGTTGACTTTGATGGATCAGATTATTTCTTCTTGCAGACTGCTTCAGAAGATCTTCTAAGGGACATAGTTGGACAGACATCTGGTTTCATGCCTAGGGATATGCGTGCTTTCATTGCTGATGCTGGTGCAAATTTAATTCCTAGGCAGGATATTAAATTTGACGAAGTTGAAGCTGAGGCCTTTGTTGAAAAGGGTTCTGTGCAGCACAATAAAACATGCGATGTTGTACCTCGAGCTCTGGGTAAAGAAGACTTGGCAAAAGCATTGGAGCGATCAAAGAAAAGAAATGCATCAGCTTTGGGCACTCCAAAGGTTGAACTAAATAGCAAACTAGATCACCAAACCCCAAATAAATAAATAAAGAAGAAAGAAAGAAAGAAAGAAAGAAAAGCTGACTCTGTTAACTTAATTCTGTGATGTTATGTTGGTTTTCTTGAGGTCAATGTCTACTCTTTTTAAGAACAACTGTGGCAATGAGTAGGCAGTTTGATGTTCTTAATTGCTGCTTATCTAACAGATTATTGAATCTAGATTGTCCGGATTATTTGCTGTAGGTTCCTGATGTGAAATGGGAGGATGTTGGTGGGCTTGAGGATGTCAAGAAATCAATTCTGGACACCGTTCAGGTATGCTCTTCAATATCTCTACTTCGTCTATGGAATATTTACTGCAGAGTTTCTCGTTGATTGATTGATTTGAAAATTTTGTATAAAGAATTATTTTTTAGCTTGAAGGGGTTTCCCTCTGTTGATTTTTGTTTATGACTTAACCATACACCTTTTCGCCAGTTCATTAGAATAGGACTGTTTTAAATGGAGGTACATTGGCATAATTCCTTGAATTTAAAATTTAACTGTACCACACATGATATAATAAATGAACAATTCATTGCAAGCCATTTCATATTACAACCACATAGCTGTTATTTAACATGCCTTTGCAAAACATCAACTGTGTGCAGAAAGTACCTCGCAAGAATACGTGCCTTCGGTAGTTTCCCTGTGTATTGCCATAATGCCTTTTTCATATCCATTATCCTGTCAACTTTCACCCCGGTGTGCCAGTTTCAACCATCCACGTTTGCAGAAAGGCCTTTGTAACTCATGTGGGATGATTTATCAACTATATAGCTTGCCAATTTCATCATGTGGGTTTTGAAAGTCTTGGTCTTCTCAACCCATATGCAAAAATGTGAATCTCTTTTGTCTCAGAGCAATTGAAAAGGACCAAGTAGAGGGAAATAAGTCAGACTAGAGAACTTAAGGGTAAGGATTAGTCTTTCACCTTTCTAAGCGTTAATAGTTTCCTTGGGTGTATTTTAACAATTGATGTACAAAATCGTTTCAATATAGTATGGAGCCATCAACAGGGATGCCTAGAACAGGAAACTACCCTCTTTGCAATCAAGATCCAAGAGCATTCCATGACATTTAGCGTCATGCATACCAGTTAATTTAGAAACTTGAGAGATGGCTGCAAAGATCATCAGGTCCAATCAAATAAGCTGTAACTCTCAGGCTGTGAATGTAGTGAATGAAAGAGAAGCAGATATTGCGTGCAACTGAAGCCAAGTGATTGGTGGCACCCTTGGTCTGGCTAAATATCCATCTCTTAAACCTTCCTCTTGAACTATTTTCAAATGCCTACTTAGCACTTATCCTACCATGCATACTTAAAGTTGACACAGTAAGAGATGTGGTGACTGGCAAAGTTTAATATGATTAACAAGAATGGAATATCGTCTGGAGTTTCTTCACGTATGAGGGAAAAGATTGATATTCTTATTGTCCTTGTCTGTTTCATGCCAAGATTAAGATGAATTGAAGAATATTCAACATAGGTTGCATGATATATTATTATTGTCCCCTGAGTTCATCATTAAATTATGCTTATACATTCATGGATCCTTTGAAATAAGAGAAGCTGGGAAGACGAGTTAGTTTGTCCTCCTGTCCTTTTGGATGATGTTTCGCTGATGCCTGTCATTAAATCTGTAGCTACCTCTACTGCACAAGGATTTGTTTTCATCTGGGTTGCGGAAACGCTCTGGTGTTCTTCTTTATGGTCCTCCTGGGACTGGAAAAGTAAGTTTGAAGCACCTACCTTTATATTGTTCTCAGCATGTCATTTCTTATCTTGGATGTTAGTATGCTTCATAATCTGTGCTGCTGTTAAATTTCAGACTCTGTTGGCGAAAGCTGTGGCAACAGAATGTTCCTTGAACTTTCTCAGCGTAAAAGGGCCTGAACTTATTAACATGTACATAGGAGAGTCGGAGAAAAATGTGAGAGACATTTTTCAGAAGGTAAAATATTCTCTTTCTTATGGTCTACCATCGGGAGGTAAAAGCTAAATCGCAGTATTACGATGGATTAATTTGGTTTGATGATATAAGCTACTTCAACTCACAATTTGTAATAACATTGCGCATCATTTGCAGGCCAGATCAGCACGTCCCTGTGTAATCTTCTTTGATGAACTTGATTCCCTTGCTCCAGCAAGGGGTGCTTCTGGCGATTCGGGTGGTGTTATGGACCGCGTGGTTTCTCAGGTAAAGATAGATGTGCTATTATTTTGACAGATTTCTTTTTTTATTTTATTTACTTTAATCAATACAGTTGCTTAATGTGCTAGACCTCCCTTGTTACCAGATGCTTGCAGAGATCGATGGCCTGAATGACTCTGCACAGGTTACTTATACTACTGTGCTTAATTCTATTATATATACATATATATGTGTGTATTTTTTTTATCCTTCTGCTTCTAGTCAACTGAAACCAAGCCCCTTCTCTTGCTGGTTTAACAGGACTTGTTTATAATAGGAGCGAGCAACAGACCAGATCTTATTGACCCAGCCCTTCTACGGCCTGGCCGATTTGATAAGCTCCTCTATGTTGGAGTTAATTCTGAGACATCTTATAGAGAGCGGTTAGTTTTCTTCTCACTTTGCTTTTAATGATATATTTTATTATATATTTAATACATTCATTCATGTGTGTCATGCTTTCCCATATCTTGCAGGGTCCTTAAAGCACTAACCCGAAAGTTTAGATTGCAAGAAGATGTTTCCCTTTACTCAATAGCAAAGAAATGCCCCCCAAACTTCACTGGTGCGGACATATATGCCTTGTGTGCAGATGCTTGGTTTCACGCAGCGAGGCGCAAGGTGAGTAATTTCAAGTCATCCTTGCTGTGGTTGATCACCATCATCATTTTCAGTGTCAAATTAACTCTAACTTTACAAATCTTTTTCCCAACTATTTGGCGTTGGCTACATGAAACGTGATATTATGAATGACCAACAAAATATTATCTACATCTCTCTACCCTTCTTCGTGACACAAAGAGTGGAAAAGAACAAAAGCATTTTGTGAGGTCTCCGACTATTTTTTTTTGGAGGGTTTTAACTACTACGAGATTAACTTACCTTTGCAAAGCATTGCTCCACATGCCTATTCCTGTGCTGATTTACTGTTTGAAGAGTTGCCAACGGTGGTTTATTAATTATGTTGTAGGTTTTAGATCCACATTCAGATTCTACTTGCAGAATTGATGAAGCCGACTCTGTTATTGTTGAATACGATGACTTTGTGAAGGTATGAGGTAGTTACTTTCTTGAATGGGTTGATGTTAGCTAACCAATATTTTGAAAGGACAAATTGATCGCCTTAGGGCCCTTTAACCAATTCATATAGTCTGCAGTACAGTGCCTGCCTATAATAATTTTAATTTGAGGGTAGAAAAGTTTTTTCAAGTTGTCATAATTTCTACTGTGTATCAGAAATAGAATAGGGAAGACATACCTTTGTCTGTGATGATTTGAGTGTTCTGACCACTTAATTGTCAGACACCAATTCATGTGACAATAGTAGTCTGACCAGTTAATGATCATGGCTACGTTTCTTCTAAAAATTGGAGTTGGTGATGTTATTTATTAATATCATCTTATAGTACCAATTTTTTTTTCTTTTCTTTTCTTTCCTTTCATTTTTATTTTTTTTGTTGGGGGGCTGGTATGTGTAGGTCTTGGAGGAACTGTCTCCATCACTTTCTGTAGCGGAGCTCAAGAAGTATGAGCTGTTACGGGATCAGTTTGAAGGAGCTTCAAGATGAATTTTGTTTGTCCTGCTCAATGATCATGGTCTGCAAGGATACTGCAGATCTTCTCCTACAATACACAAGTATTTGATGATTCTTTAATATAAAGGTACTGTATATTTGAGGCTGAATATCATTTTTTCCTTTTTCCTTTCCTTTTTTCTTTTCTTGTTGGGAGGTGGGGGTAAGCAAGTTCGTGTTGTATTAATATAATGGGATATGTACAAAGTTAAAGGGGGCCATGCTACCCTGTCTAAAAGAACAGATTAAGATGCACAATATCTTTGCTTCAAAGCATAAATGGAAAAAAAATAAGATGGCAATTGGAAACAGTTAGCAAAAGTGTAGTAAATTGTTGGCAGCAGAGCAAGCAAAAAAAAAAGGACCATGTAGCATATTGCAAGGTTCATCCAGTATGTTTATATTCATGCATTCTCTCTCTCTCTCTCTCTCTCTCTCTCTCACACACACACACCCCGTATATATACACACACACACACACATGCGGATACATAGTTACATGCATACTTCCAAAAATGTATATACGGATGCTATATAATTGAAAGTGAAAAGTTCCTGTAGAATGAACAACTCATAAGCACATCAGCTAGATGATGAGTGTTTATCTAAATCCAAACGAATGCAGACTTTATAGCATTTGAAGCTTCTATATATTCTTTAGTGATTTTTTTCGTTCTTAATAAGCTTATAAGCACATCAGCTAGATGATGAGTGCTTATCTAAATCCAAATGAATGCAGACTTTCTAGCATTTGAGGCTTCTATATATTTCTTTAGTGATTTTTATTCATTCTTAATAAGGTTGTGTATCTTGTGAAAAAAAGTAATCTGTGAGAAGTGTAGTTAAAATGTTTCTGCTTAAATGGTTTGGCAGACAGCAAGAATGAAAACATCCTTGATTTTCAATTGAAACCCCTCATTGCACTTCTAAAATACCTTTGCATCTCCAGAGTCTGTCTTTAAAGTCTGTCTAAGATTTTAAATTTTGATTGTCATTAATCAAGCTCCTGATGTTTCAAAGAAACTTGTTCTAGATACTAATAGGAAAGAAAATTTGGTTTATGAGACAATTAATTACTATAGTATTTCAAATTTTTTGTTTTCTTTCTGTATTTATTTTAATTAGCTAAGCAAACTGTTAGGTAGGAGTTTTGAAATTGCTTAAATTATGCACTAATTTAAACCTTGATTTAGCATGCGGCATTAAAAAGAAAATTCAATTTCTAGGTTTTTCTCTATCATTTTATACAGATAATGTGTTAATCTGTCCGAAGCTGTAAATTAGGATAGAGTTTTGCATTTGATTAACTACTGAACTTTCTGCCAAAAGTTACCTAATAGGATCTTGGTCACGAGTAAATGAGGGGAACAACTGAAGTGACAACAACAGCAGCTTCTTATAAATAAGTAGGTTTGATGAACTGTGCTTCATTTATCCTCTTTTTGGCAGAACACTTTATTCTCTTTAACATTTTTGTGCAGTTGACCAAATGAAAATTTGATCTGTGTGTCACCTTTTTTTTTTTTTTTAAACATTTGGCATTTTAATCCTTTCATCTCATGTGTCACAACTTACCTACTCTAATCCTGTGGATCTATTTTATCCATACTGGTGGAGTTTTATGCATATTTGTATTTAGTGGACTAAGAACCAGAACAAAAGGCATATTGGTATTTAGTGCTGTAAAGTGTTGTGACTGAGTGGTTGAGTAAATTAGGTCTAAATGAAGATCAGGTTTATCAGCAATTCAATTGTTACTGATTATTGATGCTACAGATAATCGTTGCTTCTTTGGTGCTGAACGTCAAACCCTTCCAAGATCAGTGTTGGTTCCTTCCAAGATCAATGTTGGTTCCATTAACGCAGGCTGCTGTGGATAAATGAGTTTGAACTCATGTTCTTTCACTGGGTCATTTGAGCTTCTGTAACGCTGGATATCCGTAATGAAGCAACCCTCTCTCTCTCTCCACACACAATTTTAATGTTGTTTCATTATCAGTAGTCTGATTATTTAGATTCAAGGACATAAATTATTGATTCAAAGATAACGTAATTGGAAATTTCACTGCATTTTTTTAGAAAAGTGAGGTCAGGGTCTGGCCTCAATAAAGGCATGTGTGTGAGCGTCAATTAAGAAAAAAAAAAAGTTTCTCAGGGGTGAAGAAGTCCATAAAAGAGATCAGCACCGCCCAACTAGCAACTGCTTTCTTATTTTTCCTACAACAATGATATTATCAAAGACTTGTATTTCTTCCAACTCCAGTACCCCCAAAAGGCTAGTTGTTACCTATCACAGCCTCAATCAAACCTCCAGATTACGCAACTCGTACAAGAAAACATTAGAGAGCAACGTAGTGAACAGCAAAGAAATTGGAAGTTTATGTACTGAATTCTTTTGCTCAAAAATTGTACAGGAATAAAAATAGCAAAAGCAAGGTGGGCAAGGTGGGCAATTACTGAAAATTATAATTCAAAATGCAGCATTGCCCCGAAATGTCCGATGGTCTCCTACTATAATCCCACTCAAGGTAATTGATATTTGCTGTCACCCACGCAGAACTGGCTATATTACTAGTGAAATCACAAATGTGTATACGTCTCCTGTTTTCAACTACCAACATCAACAAAAAAAAAAGAAACTGTAATCATAATGGCAATCATCATCATCATCGCATCTTTCATCTCAATTTACTGTGTCAGATTCACTCTCAACGCGTCATCTCCAATTCATTTTTTAATCACAATGAATGCCCAATCGTAGCTCACTTTTAAATCAACAGATTGAATCACGCCAAATAACGAAAGGTGTTAGGATTCTCCTTGTCTCTTTCCAAATAGTCCCTGGTGATTAGATCTTCAATCCGCTTCTTGATTGCCTTGAAATCGGGCTGCACAAACCACATTCAAATAAATTATTCATTTTCCAATAACGAAATATTTTTCAATGCTTGGGAAATCCACCAACAGCTTAAGAATATAAAGCCCTCGCAATACCATTCAAACACCAAATATTTTCAACTTCATCGTCCTCGGTCCTCATTTGACTACTTAACCATTTCAAACCTTCATAACTAATAAACCAGCAATAAATAGAAAATGAACCAACAATCAAGATGGTCAAAATATTTTGTGCTTCAAGTGATTTGAGTTCAAAAAAATAAAAAAACTGGCTACTAAAATTGGATTGGGAAATCAAAGGTTATGTTGCATTATATGTACTAGCAACATTTATTCTTTAGCCAGTACGTAGCATATAGAGAAGGGTTATGTGTCAGTACCTTAAACATCTTGCTTAACTGCTCAACGCACTCCATAACCAACTGTTGATGACCCAAAACTTTGCGAGACTTCATTATGCGCACAATCGCAGCGTCAATAGCATAACGTCTGTCCTTGTCAACATCTTCAACTATCCTTTTCCTTTCATCCACTGGCGGGAGAGGAATCTGGTCCAACAAATATAAAAGTTCAATCATCTCAATTATTAATTTTTTATTATTATTACTATTCTTCTTCTTCTTTTTTAGTTTTTTTTTTGTGGGGTGGTGGTCAAGGGCAACTGGAAAAGTATAAAAGCCAAAAACAAGCTCTAACCCTGATCCTCCGCATTCTGTCAGTAAACTTGGAGTTGAACTCGAAACTGTCAGTTTGAGAGACAGTTCTAGAGTTTGGCTCCTTGATTAGAATCTTGTATTTGGCGCATGACAGAGACTGGAGCAATCTTATCAAGTCATCGTCAGCCAAATTTAATTGAGTCTTGATTTCTGAATAACTCAATTTGTCGGAAGCATTAAAAAGCAGCAGAACTGCAGCCTGAAAAATGACACAGCATAAATTCGAAATCAGAATCTAACACACAGTTGAGACATTAAATCTAAGAATAGAATAAAGTAAAATTCACATGGGAACTTACCTGATAGGTACCCAAAATCAGCTCAATAGTTTTTTGCTCAAATTTGCCGTTTATGTTGCAAGTCCCCAATGAGTAAATCCATGTGAGTTTTCTATGTTTTGTTTTGGTTTGATAAAATTCCTTAAAAACTTCAACACACTTCACCTGAAACCACCAAAGAGAAATCCAAAGAGGAAGTTATGGTTTCCATCTTCATCAATGGGAAAACTGAAACTAATTAGAGCAGATGGCATTCCAATGCTTGTAGGAGACAGGGTGGATCCTACCATCTCCTCAGGGAGGCTGAGATCAGAGGATTTATAACTTGGCCAGAATCCGGTAGTAAGGACGGTAACAGTCAAATCAATCCCAGGATTTGCAATCGTGTTATTGGCAAGATACTCCTCAAAGTGGTTCTGATTTTCCTTTGCCAGTGTCAGATCTGTGACCTGGGAAAAGAAAAAAGTACAGAATGTCTAAAATCCCAACTGTGAGAGAAAAGTACAGGAACTCAGTAAAATAATCACAAGATCAACTAACCATCCCCTCCATCTTTGATGTGAACTGTCCACCACACTGCTGCTTCAACTTTGTCAGGATCAGTCTTTCATGATCATCATTCGCACTCTTGTCAAAAAGTAGACGACGAGAAAGCCTTTTCCTGCCACCAGTCATGACAACCAAAAACGAAACATCAGCTAATCAAAGCACTGGTCTAAACATGAGGAGGTAAACGCCTACTTAAAAAATAGATTTTACCTGTAAAACTCAGCAAAGAGATCCTTATCACTAACATAAGCAAGCAGCTTGACCACCTGCAGAATTGAACAGTGAATTTAAACACCCATTACAAAGGACTCAGAGAGAACTTTATATGACAAAACTAATTGAAGACTACCTTGTCTAGTGTGTCTTCAATGGCTTCATCACTCAATTTTTCACTCCCACCCTTCTTGAGGATATTATCACAAAATGAAGCCAGTAGTTCTGCACTGGGCGAGCCGCCAACAGCTTTGTTGCAAAATACCTCAAAAGCTTCTTTCAGGGCCTATAAAAGGGCCAATAAAGGGGGCAGTCAGCCAAAAATAAAAAAGAGGAAAAGAATACCCGAACGAATAGACAAATCTCAACGGCATACCTTGTGAAAGAGAGAATTGCCCATAAAACAGTCATTAACATATGTCATATACTTGTCGTGGAGCTCAATCACTTTTCTGACGAAGACCTGAAGAAAAGACAACCACATCAAGTTCTAAGCTTCCAAACCATAACTGCACAAAATTCCTGCATTCGCAAGCTATAAATGATTTACCTGCTCATGCGAACCAGCTGCATTCTCTGCCTGTAGAGAAACAGTAGTCAGCACTTGGAAACACAATCACTGGTGAAACAACAATCTAACAGCCCAAACCAGTATATAATTCATCAACACATCTTACTTGAATTCTTAAAACCCATAAAAACTGCAATTCATCTTCCCCTTGATACACTTATGGCCACTGTTATATGAAGTCTGGCATGTGGACTCGATGCAGCTATGTGTATTCAAAAGTCGGATTTATCAAATCTTTATACTCAAGGGTCACAGAGACAAGGCTAAATGTTCATATTATTTAGAATTTTACATTCACTTTTTAGAGTAAAATAATGATCCCCCTAATATTAAAGCAATAATGTAACAAAGATGGGCCGCAAGTTGGGCAGGCCACAGCCCGGTCCCAACCCAATCTCAACCCAAAGTCGGGTTGGGTTGGGCCGGCCCAATGTCATAAAAAACTGGGCTTTGTCAGTAACCCGAACTAGAATATTTTCTGGTCAAACGGGGGTTTTCCCCCCCACCCCCTGGTTTTTTTTTTTGGGCAGCAATGCCATCTCCAAAGTCAACAACTGGTGTACTACTTTTAAACCTGCAAAATTATTATTATTATTATTATTATTATTATTATTATTATTATTATTATTATTATTATTATTATTATATATATATTTCTCAAACAACATGCAAGTGGCATTAAATTTAATTAAACCCAAGAAGAAGATAAATACAAGTAACAAGGGTAAGTTAACCAATCGAATCGGTCTCCAATATGTGACAGCTGTATTTATATACATATATGGATATATATATATTAAAGACCAATTAGGATACAACTCTTTACACATATGGATACATATATATCAAAGGTTTGAAAGGTAAAAAATAAAAAAAAATTAGAAGTTTTTTTCTAAATTTTTGGTTTTGGTTTGGACTCGGGTTATATATATTTATATATATGTATTAAAGACCAATTAGGATATAACACTTCACATATAAAAATACGTATATATATCAAAGATTTGGAAGGTAAAAAAATATATATATTGGAAGTTTTTTTTAATTTTGGATTTTCGGTTCGGTTCGGTTCGGGCCCAACCCAAACATGCCTGAGTTTTGAGAAAACCCAACCCAATTTGAGCCCGGTTTGTGAATTTAAAAGCCCAAGTTTCAAAATTTCAAGTTTCAAGTTGCATCCCTATAACAGAGTGAATTATAAGAGAGTTTTATAGTTAATTTGAGATACTTTAGATTCATGTCCTACTATGTGTTGGAGACGAACCCCAGACACTAGTCTAACTATCATGTGTCCAACACACGTCATGCATTCTTTAAGAGTCAATAAAACATAAGCTTATGGCTGCAAATTCATTAAGCAACATGTGTACAACGGCAACTTGTGCTTCGTGAACCAGTTTTTCAAAATATGGCACATTCCAAAATGAACAATTTTACCAGGATACTAACCTTGTTACTTGCTGCATCTTCAGCCTGTTGGACCAAGGCTGTACCTTCGGCAGTAACATGCTGCACCATGAAATCCTCAAAATGTCAGTAATATAACATATGGATCTGGTTAAAAAGGATATCATACTCAACAAGTAATGTAAATTTAACAAACCAACGGACCTGTTTAAACATACTAGCAACTGGTTCCAAGCCTTTAGGAATTTTACAGAATAGCCTGTACATCCTAGAGAGATCCTCCACCTAAAGATCAAGTAAACATAATGAACAGATCACTATCTGCAGATGGTCAGGTCACAATTTCTCTAAAAAAGAGAACTAAAAATTCAACTCCAAAAAATACCTTATCATCTCTAAGCAATGCACGGCATCCAGAGTGCTCCTTTTCAAGCAGCTGGTTTGTGTAAACCACCAACAGCTCGTTTTGCACTTTCTGCAAGCAAAAACCAAATGAACAAATTTAACTAAAGCACCCAAAACATCATCACAACAAACTCAGAAAATTCATGACTACCACATCAATACAAAATTTAAATTTTCAAAAGCAAATAATTGAACCATTTTAAGTTTGTCCTTCCATCTATATGTTGTGCCCAAGTGTTTATACCAACTAATGGTGGGTTGTGATGTTGCATATATAAACTTTATATAGTGCACTAGATATGGTGCATGTATGTAGAAAATAATAATATGAATTACATCGTAGATCAAAAGGTGACAGAACCAAAATAATTCTCAACTTGAAATATCAGTTTGTACAACATCAAATATACCTGCAAATTCATATATTTGAAAAAATGAAAAGCAAACCATGGTTACCTATGGCGCAAAGTTCCTACCATCGTGCCTTACTTCTTATACACTTAACATCACACATTAATTACTTTTTAAAAATATGCATAGATAAGATTTACACCACCACACAATCATGTCCTAGGCAAGCAAAGTTCGGGAGTTCAATTATATCAAGTATATTTGTACATCACTACATCTTATGAATCCTACCAAAATTTTGTAATTTATAAAATCACATTTAGAACCATCTATATTAGAGGCTTCAAGAGCAATATCTTGCATCAACATGCAACAGGACAATGATTCTCTTCCAAGTATTACATCACCGTGAATAGGGCACATTTGTGCTAAACAATAAACATCAATAACTATCTAATAAGATAACATTTTCCTTTCCAATATATTTACTCTTAATTTGACAATGTTTCAAGCACGTGGATATATTTTCATTGCTATTATAAGGTTAGGACTTGTTTGATATTTATAAGTGCATATACCTTCAAAATGACATTGGAGGAGCTGTAATTAATACTAGTACATAAAAGCATCCAAATCATCTCCATATGCAAAAGAAAAGGTATCAAGTGATCTATATTGCTTATCAAGAATTCAAGATCCACACTCAAAGGAAGGCATCAAAGGATCTATATTACATTAATTAATTAAAAAATACAAAAAAAATTTTAATATAAAAAATAAAAAACTAACCTCCACTAGCTTTGGTTCACTGCTCGAGTGAAAATAATGAGAAACTCTATCCCTCTCCTTTTTCAAGCATTCCTCGGCCTATTGTTTTACATAATAGACATTAAGAGTCCAATGGGTTGATCAAATATTTAAATCAAATAACAGCCTGTATATATAGATTTACCTTCAACATGTAGTCTGGACAAGAATCTTCCACAATCCAGTTTGATGCTTTCCGAGAGTAATATGAAGCAGTATCTTTAAGCATGTCATCTTCAAAATCATTTTCATAGGAGTCCATTTGTCCCATCCCAATTTCAACAAATATACCCAGAACATTCTTCAGCAAAGCTCTGTCGATCTGCTCACCCTCACGTTCTTGATCAATCTAGTCCACAGGCATTGACAATTCAATCTCAATTGCTAACAATGAAAAGAATCATGACCAATGAAAGAAGCAATGAAGTTACCAGTGTGATAACGGCATCTCTAACTTTACTCCTCATCTCTTGGTAAACCTGAAATTTGAATAAAATAACTTTTATGCCAATATTGACACCAAAACATACAAGGAAAAAAAATTGTTTGTTGGAAACTAACGAGAATTTTATTACAATGTAAACACTGTAGCTCGAGATTTACAAATCACACTAACATCAGGAAATGATGGAATAAAAATAAACTGATAACGAACCAGGTCACGGAAGCAAGTGAGTCCAACTTCATTAAGTGCAGGAAGGGACCTTCGAGCAATAAAATACCGATCAAGATAATGGAAGAACCGTGAAAGCCACCTGACCATAATTTTATGATTTGCCCATCTTTTCACCAGCTCCCTCAACATAAATTCATCATGCTTCTCTCTTAAAGACGGTAAAACCTGATAAAGAAAACTTGATGAAACTGAGATTTTGAGTAATATAGAGTAAAAGAAGACCATGGCCACAAAAAAACCAAGCAGAAACAAATCAATCAACAGAAGTCTGCTGACAGGGAAATAGGAAGGAGGGGGGCAAAAATGAAGCTCCAAACCAAACAAAGAAGGCCATAATATGGTAACATCACAAGGAAGAAATAACTTGGCATAAATTGTAATACTGCATGGAAATAAGATGGATATATGTGATGATGGTAAAAATTTGTATAAAGCTAACACTAATACGTTCAGACAGGTTATCATCACTACTAATTTTCAAGAACAAAAATGTCAATTCTAAAAGAAAAACAACAACCAAGCCTTTACCTAATTACTTGGGTCGGCTACACGAATCCTATGTTGTTATTATGCTCTTTTTAAGGCCATAGCCTCAATCAATCCACATGCTACCATATCTTTCTTTACTAACTCTACTCATGTTAAATTTGGTCTTCCTCTCCCCCTAGTATTACCCTCAATGTGGACTATGTCACTTTTTATAATTGGCACACTTAAAAGGTCTTCTTTGCACATGTCTGAACCATCTTAACCGAATGTGATGATTTATCATTTTTAGTCTTACAGCACATCCACCTCGACATTCACATTTATGTCACACTCACTTTATGCAAATGTTGTTTCCTAGCTGCCAAATATTCGGTATCATAAAGTATGACTAATCTAATAATTGTTTTATAGAACTCCCCTTTCAATTGTAAAGGGATACGCATATCACACAATATATACTAGATTCACTCCTCCATTCAAAAGAAACCTGTTAGAAAAAAGGCTTCAACTGAAAGGGACAGGGAGCAGGGAGATATTCCCTCTGCTCTAAATTAAGGATTGTTTAATCCTGAATAGGCCAGAGGCGACTTAACTACAGATAAAAATCTATCTCAAGAAGGAAGGGTTATCTAGTAATATTTGACTCTTTTTTGCTGGCAGACTGGTAATATAATCAACTCTAAATATTGGAGAAACTAAGCAACAACATGAAATACAGGTACTAGGAAGCAGGTCAAATGATAGCATGTATGGTCATTACAAAATTGCAACATTAATGGATCCGGCTGTGCAGGAAAGAATTACCCAGGATACTGCAGATGCAAAACCCCAGGAGAGATGACCATATTGAAAATTTCTTTACATCTCATTGAGATACTGCAAATTGTTTTCCATTAAACATCATTCATCAGTTCCTAATCTTCTTTTCAACAGAAAACAAAAGCATAGAATATTTCGTTTCTACTTACTTATTCTTCCTTATTATTCATTCAGCACAGTTATAATAACCTCAAAGGTGATTATGCATTTACTTGCTCAAGTCACCAACTCTCATCAAACAGAATTTGCCATCAGGTTACCGACATGCTTATACAAAAGAATAAAAATTATGCTGAAATTAGATGTGTCCATTTATGCCAACATAGACATGCTAAGTTCCTATTCCATAACAACAACAAAATAACAGTATCCCATAATGAGCAACAATTAGCACACAGTAATAATGTTGATAACAGCAACTATCCATTAGTTTACTCACCATTGAATTAATGTACTCTTCAAACGCCTCCTTGTATTTATCATAGAGCTGCTGAGAATAATCGTTTGGGGGCTTTTGTGTGCACATGTTATAGATGGTACTATACTTATATCAAGGAAAAATCAAAGCTCAAGCAACAGTTCTCTTCCAAATCACTAATAAAATGCATGAAGAGACATTAAAATAAAATAGCAGTGATCAAATAACAAGATGACAAGGATACGTATAAAGCATCATATACTCTTCAGAGTTGAACTGTGCCTCTGGCTGCCCTTCTAGAATTTTCTTCAGCTTAGTGATCCCCTTCTGCATAAACTCCCATCCTTCCTCTAACTCAATAGTCTTCTGATTGTTCATTGTTGTATTTACACCACATAACCACAAACTATGATCTGCTAAAAAAATATAATTGAATTATCACCATTGGTCAAACTTGCATTTGATAACAAACAAGACCACAGAAAATCTTTTAGTGTATCAAGCATGAGATATCATGGACATGACTCAAACCTTGATTTCAAAGCTATACATAGTCAGCTCTAAAGATTGTATATTAGTGTCTGTAACACACTGTCTACAAATAAAGTTTGCTACGAGATCAAGTGCAATTTTCATTCAGAAAGCATGTGCACGAGGATACTTTAATTACACGTGCATACACATAAGTACGCATTCATAAATGAAGGTATACACGGTACAAGAATCACAAAATGAAGGTATACAAGTCTTTGTGTGCATACAACAAAAATTAACATGCATGACCAAAAAATACCAAAATAAGTTCTCAGAAAATTTTATAATCTACTTGATCAATCTGATAAATGTATGAATATGAATGGTACACGAATATAAAATAGAATCACAAAATTAAAATACAAAACCGAAAGTACCAAAATAAGTTCTCAGAAAATTTTATAATCTACATGATGAATCTGATCAATGCATGAATACGAACATCATAAACACGTACACAAATATATACTATAATCACAAAATTAACATATAAAACCAAAAAGTACCAAAATAAGTTCTCCAAAAATTTTATAGTCTACATGATGAATCCGATAAATGTATGAACACATACACAAATATATATATATACACACACACATGCAAAACCTAATTTCGATAAGCTACCAGAATCAAATACATAACTGTCACAAAGTCCAGAAAGAAATTTTCACAATATTCTTGTCATTATATGTACTGCGAACGAAGAAAAGACGAATTCCAATACATACATATGAATATACATGTATATAAACATATAATTGATTAGAACACACAACATACACGTAGCAATATAACCGCAGTCTGAAACAAAACAAATCGCTAGGAGAACTCAAAAGCAGTAAAAACCCTAGAAATCAATCCTGTGAGATCAAGATAATGCGAGTAGAACATAGATACGAAACTACTGTTCTTCAAAATAAGATTGATTGAAGCGTCGAATGATCAAGAAATACCGAAGATTTACGTCCAGAGACGCCACGAGACTGGAAATCGCAACGAAGGTCCACCTCTATTACAGAGGGAGAGAGAGAATAAAAAAGAGAGGAGAGAGGAGAAGGATAGACGAATATAAATAGGCTTTCGTCTCTTTATAGTTTTTAATGTACCAAAAATAAATAAATAGTAAACTAATAGTTTACCTCAGAGTAGAACACGCAACACGATTCAATATACTTTATCTCCAATTTTATACTATTATTTTTAAAATTTTGTTTATGAATATAAGTTTTCAATAAATGATTTAATTTCTGACCAACCAAATTTTCTGGTCAACGCAGATTAAGTTTCAAGGAGTGTAATTTGTGGTAAAAATAAAGCTTGTGAATTTGTGATTAATGATTCTCGCCGAGTCGTGATAATGGGAAATTGGGATCTTTATTACTAAGTTTGGGAATTAAAATTCCTACTTTTAATGATAATTAATGTATCATTTTTTAAAAAACAGGTAACTAAAAAAGCACAAAATGAAAATTATTTTTACATAATTAGAGATGATGTTATGTTTCTATTTTATAGTTAGTATTGTATTAGGTAATTTTTTTATAGATAAGTCTTGGAATTCAAGAAATTGTAAGCATTGTGGACTGAATTTTTAAAAGATAAATTACGTTATGAATTTAGACTAAGTGCCCGTTTGTGGTTATTGTTGTAATTAAAAAAAAAAAATTTATTTTTATCAATAGAGTTACCAAAAAATTGCCACCCCAACACAGCCCAGCGCACCCCAACACCACCCAGGATGCTCCCTAAGGTCCTGCCAATCAATTTCCTTGCGCCTTACGGGTTTAATAACCCGTTGACTCGCACACATGTCAGATTCCTTAGTCCATGTTTCAAGATGTGCGAAATGGGGAGCTCGCAACCCGCTGCATGGAACACGCAAATGCCAAGGCACACCGTGAGGCACGGGCTTCCAACCACGATCATTCAAAATTTTGCCCTATCATGGTAGTAATGGGTGACGGAAAATTAGGGTTTGATTTCGGGAAGGGAGCCTAAGAAATGGTTACCATATCCAAGGAACAAAAACTAAAACATATGGTGGTTTCTTATTAATTGGGATACAAAAGTGAAGAGAAAATGAATTTTTTTATCGGTGCGTGTTGGGCTGCAAGCTAAGGTTCATTGGGTGCGCGCTGGGGTGCGCTGGGCTCTAAGTGGGCCATTTTTGGTAAGCAGAACTGGTGATGTGGGATGAACCAAAAGCCAAGGTTACGGTGCCCAACTACGCGCTAACCTAAAAGCCACAAATGGTGGGCCGAACACGAACTGGTAGTTTACAAATGTGAGATGGCCAAGAAGACATTCTCGAAGCTATGCGGTGTGCATTATGCTACGGTGTTGTAACGACCAGAACCTAGGGGTTCGAATCACTAACCGGGTCCTTATGCGAACCCGAGGACACATTAAAGGTAAAATGGTCATTTTACATTAAGTAGGGATAATTTGACCCTTAGTTGGTCAAATAAGGTTTATACAATTCATCCTAGTCATTCCATAACATTCTAAGAAGTTCTACGAGTATTAGTCATGGTTTATCTCAAAGTGCCCCTACTCGATTCAAGGGAAATCCCGATATTGTCTCACTAAAACACACATATCTCTCAGTATGATTATAAACTAAGGATAAGGTTAGTATCATTGAAAAACTAACTTAAAAGTCTTGAAATTAGACTCAAGAATGACTCCATTTGGGTTTGAAACGAATGAGTTATGACTAATCGAAGTTAGAGGTCCAAAGCTGGAAGTTGCCAAGGCAAAATGGTTATGGGGAACCTAAACCAGTTCAACATGGGTAATATGCTCACGTTGGGAACCAAATTTCACTCTTAAACCGGTTCAAGAGGGTTGAACTAATTCAACATGGCAAGAATGTTGAAAATAGCCCAAAAAAACTTAAATTGAATGCTTATGGTCATGGACACCTCTTAGGTCTTATGGAAGGTCATTAGGGTGCTTTCCAATTTACTCAGACATGATATATATATAATTCGAAATGACAATAAAATGAAATCCATACATCATTGAAGTCCAAAATAGGTCCGATTATATTTAAGAATGGACATAAGGTGGTCTCATGTGATACCCCCTGGATTTCCGAATGCGGGTTGGCCAGGCCCACGCCCGAATACCCGAGGATATCAAAACAAATTGATAATAAACGAACACAAAGTACAAAAGAATAAAGAAGAATAAATAAAATGTTGACAAGAAACTAAAATGATAATCTAATAATAAACCTCAGAATATATTTCCATTAATTAATAAACTCTTCTGATACAACTAATCCTCCAAAATACAACTCGGGAATCCATACTGTGTGGACCCCTAGAAAATCCAAACTAAAGAAATGACAGCAATAACTGTCTAAATCAGGAAACTGAATCATAAAAGAACTCCTATGTAGCAACGGAAGAATGAAGTAGACTGATCCCTGCTCAGCACGAACAACCTCTACTCCTGACGAACACCTGAAAAATAATGGTGGGTCAGGCCCACAAACAAGTTCTACTCTACTACAGTCCAAGAAGAGATCCGATACACGTATACATCCTAGTCAATCCAACAGTAACTAGTAGTCCGTATATATATATATATACACACACTAAAGGAACCTCACTAGACTATAGGGTTGTCTCAACCTGAATAGTAGGCAACATGCAAAACGCACATATAGTGGGCATGAATACCTAGACCTACCAGAGTACACAACTACACTATATCTAGCTACACATCCCTGGCGATATACGCACCCTAACCACTGATCCTGAGACTCAAGCTCATATCATGGCACCATACTTATATATATATAATCTAGTAACCATCCTATCCGGTATAAATTAATCCTCCATAAGTCATTCAACTTGTTCAGCTGACCTGACTTGAATATAATTAGGACTTAACATTTTAGTTAATCCATTCCCTTATATAATAAATTAATCATCCATAAGTCATTCAACTTGTTCAGCTGACCTGACATGAATATAAGTAGGACTTAACATTTTAGTTAATCCATTCCCTTATATAAAATAGGTAGGACTTAACTGATAAGTTAATCAGTCCCTAGAATGCCACCGTCCCATACCGGTGCATTAAACCACACAATCCAACAATTAATGTAACGATTAAGGAAATACATCAAACAATCCAGAAATAACTATGATAATATGATATTAAGTTATCACAAAATAGGAATGACTTATTATTTATTTAAGCTTCCTATATCATATGTCCTACATAAACTGAATCTTATACATATGATGATATTTTATTATACCGTCAAATAAGCATTCTCCATATCCAATTCATCCTACACATTTAATCTCAATTGCTAAAACATATTAAAAGATTAAATTCATTCGTTTGTTTAAAACATTCAAATAGCAAGCATAATTATGATTGAGTCTATTTAAATTTATTTAAACCCAAACCTAGTTTCTATTTAATGTTCAGGAATCCTAGACATGTTTTTACGTTCCATCGTTCCACAAATATGAAAAATACATAATTTAAACATGTAAAAATTCACACCGGAAATCAAATCAAAATCATGCTTTTATCAATTCATAACACAAGAACAGATATGAACCAAATTCATAAAACCTATATTCTAATCCAATTAAACATGCATAATTATTTAATTTTATGTGTTTAATAAATCCTGGAATTTCTTAGGCATGTACAGAAACACGAATCAAAGGGAAAGAGATAGAAGAAGAACTTGCCTTAAACTTTCAGTTTGAAAGTTAAACTTCTTCTTCCTTGATCTTCTCTCTAAAGGGTTTTTTCCTCCTTCTTTCCTCTTTCTCCTTCTCTCTCTAACTCTCTCTCTCTAGAATATATTACGTGATATATTTTCACTCTTTTTTCAACCTATAGTTGTGTATTTATAGGCTAAATAATAACCCTATTCCTTTTCCCAATCCAAGTCAACTTAATAAAGAAAAATAAAAATGAAAATATTAAAAAGATAACTTAAAATATGTTACGTATATAATCTATGTATATCCTTATTAATTAAATAAAATATATACATTAGATTATTTATTAATACTAAAGTTACCATAATATTAAAAGGTAACTTAAAACATGTTATGTATATAATCTATCTATATCCTCATTAAATAAATAAAATATATACATCAGATTATTTATTTATACTAAAGTTACCATAATATTAAAAAGGTAACTTTAAACATATTACGTATCCTTATTATATAAATATATAAAATATATACATCAGATTATTTATTAATACTAAAGTTACTATAATATTAATAAATTACTTTTCTTTTTATATATATGTATATACATATATATCTATATATATACATATAGAACTATCCTTGGGTAATTATCCATACCCATCCAACCTCCTATCCAAGTAATCCATGGGACCCAATTAGTTAGCCCATTACCACTAACCATAACCATAAAATAAAATAAAATAAAATATTTAATCATTTAATTTACAATTAATTACAATTAATCAAATATATCACTTAAGCACACAATCTAATTAAACAAATAGTACATAATTAAGTAGCCAATTAATCAAGTAACACTTAATTCAATTAAACACATAAACAATTAGTCAAATAATCAATTAAACAATTAAAAAAATACAATAAAAATAAATAAATAAATACCGAGACTATCCTTTTAAAATTAGGGGTATTACATCTCAAAGCCATTTATATCCACAAAATACATATAATAACTTTAAATACAAGTTTGAGGCCAATAAATATATTTATCATTACATTTCCCAAAACGTCAAGTATTACATGGTTCAGAAGAGTTTAAACGTCTAGTTGACAAAAGAAAGTCCTTATGTCATCAAATATGAGGTTGGGAGTCGTCCATAACTTATTTCTCGGTTATTAAAAAGTGATAATAAAAGGGTGAGCACAACTGCTCAGTAGGGTCATGCATACATTGGGGAAATAGTTAACATATTCATTACCATACAATCCAAGCATAATAAATACAATACTATGCAATGCCAATGCAATGCAATGTCCACTTCCCATTTCCAAAACCTTTACCAACCACAACAACCGTCAAACCGTTAATGTAACCCGACCTGAGGTTAATATCCGGCGCCACGAAAGAATGATTGGCTAACTATCCCTGACCTAAAGTAACTCTTTAGGGTCATTTGGGACCTAGGTAACTCAACCACGTATAGGGCAATCAAGGTGACTCATTGCCGTCCGATTTTCGCAAACTTTCTTTTGAAACCCTTTTTCAAAATCAACTTTCCTTTCAAGGATTAAATTCCCATTCCTCACCCAATGTTAATGCATGAATGTTACATGCATATCAATGTGATGACAGTATGAAACTTCTTATATCAAAACTACAACCATACTTACATGCTTTGGGAATAAATTGACACAGCAATTATTATGTAATCAATTTATCAATCATGGCAATTTAAGGATATAAATCATGTAATAATATCAATTTATCACATAATCTCAGCTTAGTTCATATAAGATTGCAATTCAAAACATATATCACATAAACATAATTATCATGCTTCACATTCATCAACCCTAATAATCATAAACAATTTTACAAATTACACATACCTTAGCACATATACAGGGGAAATAACTCACAAAAATCAAAGGTTGTAAGTTTTAGAAACCCTACCTCAATTGAAGAGAAAAGTCCAAAAAAATTTCCCAAATTTTGAAAATCCAAAGTAGTCCAAATGAAAATCAGCTCCGATCAAATCGCAGCCTTCGTCAAGCTCGTTAACTTTATTTTCATTGGCAAAGTCCAATTCCTAAAATAAGAAGGTGAAATGGGGGCTTGAAAATTGAGATATAGAGAGATAAAGTGTTTTCTAATGAGAGAAATGAGGAGCTCGGCTGGTGGAGGAAGAAATGGGCCAAAAATTTGAGTATATGGCCTATAAGTAATGATCATGGTCAACGCGTGACCCTAAAAATGACTAAAATGCTCATTTCCTCATATATACAAGGGCGGAAGGAGCTAGTGCCCAAGGGGGCCAATGCTCCCCCTGACTTTTTTTTTTTTTTTTTAATAGTATATGTATAATTTTTTAAAAGTCCAAAAATGCCCCCGCTGAAATTTTTTTTTTCCCTCTCATATATTAGTAATACTTTAGTGAATCAAGCCCATTTAAGTCATTCACCTACAAATTACTACCAAATAAAGCCCTAACAAAGTACCAAATATAGCCCAATAAAACAAAACAAAAAGCAAAATAACAAGTACGATGGAACTAAATAAAGTCCAAACAAAACTTCACTTTCTGACTTTCTAGTTTCTTTGCACAAAAGTGAGATACGAAAAGCAGAAGCTTGGACTCAAGAGTCACGCCATGGTTATGTTACTTATGCCTATCATTATGCTCAGGTTTTAAATCTTCATCGTTTGCGACGAAATTGGAATTTGAAGGAAGGATACCCAATTTGTTTTGCTGTTGATTCACCGTTTGATTTGTAAATAAACCCGAAACCCTAGTTTTTTTTTTTTTTTTTTACATGAATCAGATTCACATCTATTTTAGTTTTTATCTTACTTGTTTGATGAATATGATAGATAAATTGAGTAATTATAAGTTAGTTTTTTAATTTTGTTATGCAACACAACCCTCTATTAATTTTTCAAATATTTTTTTGGGAGTTTTTTATTTTTTATTTATTTTGTTTTTTGGATTTTTGTTAAATTTTCTAATTTTGATTATGATATTAAGGCTGGGTTAAATCATTGTAACTTAAATTGGCATTTTTTTCTAAATTTTTATTGTGTAGTTACTAATTAGTACTTACTTTCCAGTCTTTCCTAATGCATTCTAAATGAAAAGATTGAGTAGTTTGAATAAAATTAATAAGATTGAAATGTCCATCTTAATTATTATATGTAAATAAGCATTTTTTTTTATTTTAAACAGTTATGGAGAAATATTATAAAAGAAAATCAGGGTTGGCACCTCGGCCACCTCCTATAGAGAGAAATGATGATCGAATATTGAAGCAAAGTTATTCCGACATCAGCTAGGAAAATCTTCCAACGGATCCAGGATTACGAACTCGAATCTTGGATTACCATCCTAATATTCGAGATGACATTCGTAGAGCATATTATCTTAAGGATCCTTGTCATCCCAAGACTCATCGTTTTCCCTATACGAGTTTTGGGAAAGCATCACGCCATTTTAACCCTGCTTGGTTTAGTGAATATTCTAATTGGCTATAATATAGTATAACCAAAGATACAACATTTTGCCTATGTTGTTATCTTTTTAAATCGGATATTGGAGAACAAGCAGGAGGTGAATCTTTTGTGGGTGAGGGGTTTTCAAATTGGAAGAAGAAAGAAAAATTTCAAACTCGCGTTGGAGGTCCCAATAGTGCCCACAACCAAGCTTAGAGATCATGTGAAGCTTTAGTGAACCAAAAACACCACATTCAAATAATTTTATGCAAGCGGTCGCACCAATCTATAAATGAATATCGAACTCGTTTGACTGCATCAATTGAATGTATACGATATCTTTTACACCAAGGACTTGCCTTTCGTGGCCACGATGAATTTAAAGATTCAAACAATCAAGGGAACTTCCTCATACTTTTGAGATTTCATGCTCATCACAATGAGGATGTTAGAGTCGTTGTATTGGAAAATGCTCTTGAAAATCTGAAGTTAACATTACTTGAGATTCAAAAAGAGATCGTAAATACTATTGCAACAGATGCTGTCAATTTTATTATTAGAGATATTGGAGATGAATTTTTTTCTATTTTAATTGATGAGTCTCGTGATGTATCTATAAAGGAGTAAATGGGTATTGTGTTATGTTACGTGAAGAATGGAAGTGTCATTGAATGTTTTATTAGTATGGTATATGTTATCGATACAACTGGTCTCTAACTCAAGATGGCGATTGATAATGTATTTTCTACACATGGATTGAGCATTTTTAGATTGCGTGGGCAAGGTTATGATGGGACTAGCAATATGCAAGGTAAGTTCAACGGTCTCAAAACGCTTATTCTGAAAGAGAATGAAATTGCTTTTAATGTTCATTGTTTTGCTCACCAACTTCAGTTGGCTCTTGTTGCTGTGGCAAAGAATCATGACCAGATTTCCACTTTTTTCGTATTTGTCGTTAATGTGGTGAATGTAGTTGGAGCCTCGTGTAAACGTCGTGATATGCTTCGCGAGAAACAAATTGTTGAAGTAATAGATGGACTTAACAAAGACGGGCTCACAAGTGGGCAAGGCCTAAATCAGAGTACTTCTCTTATACGTGCAGGAGACACCCGTTGGGGTTCACATTATGATACTTTAATTAGCTTGATTACATTGTTCTCATCTGTAATTGCTGTTCTTGAGTTTATCGAAAAAGATGGATTGAAATCTGATCAAAGAGGCGAAACATCTATTTTACTTGGGTCAATACAATCCTTTAATTTTGTATTCAATCTCCATTTGATAAAGACATTGTTGGGCATGATAACTAAATTATCGAAACCACTACAAATAAAAGATCAAGATATCGTGAATGCCATGGAGCTTGTCAAAGTATGTAAGCAACGACTACAAATGATGAAGGACGATGGATGTGATTCTTTGCTTGATAAAGTTTATTCCTTTTGTGAGAGACATGAGATTGATGTTCCTAACATGGATCATATGTTCATTACTCAAGGATGATGACAACGAAATGTGCAATAAATGACAAACTTGCATTCCTATCGTGTTGAGTTGTTTTATTTTGTCATAGATATGCAACTTCAAGAGCTAAATAATCGTTTCAATGAGGCTAATACTGCGTTACTTCTTTGTGTGGCATGTCTATGTCCAGATGATGCATTCTTTGCTTTTGACAAGCTTTTGATCATTCGCTTTGCTAAATACTATCCAAAAGAATTTTCTGCAGCCAACCTCATAGAACTTTGTAGTTAACTTGAAACTTATATTCTTGATGTGCGCTCTAATATCAGGTTTGAAGGATTGAAAAGGATTTTTGCTCTTGCAAAACAAATGGTTGAAACAAAAAAAGACAAGGTGTATCTATTGGTGTATCTACTTATGACATTGGCATTAATCTTACCAGTTGCGACTGGCACGGTGGAGAGGGCATTTTCTGCCATGAATATTGTAAAGAATGAATTGCGTAATCGGATGGGAGATCAATTTATGAAATGATAGCTTGGTTGTGTATATTGAAAAAGAAATATTTAGGGGCATAGATAATGAGGCTATCATTCAACGCTTTTAAAAGATGAAAAGCCATTGAGGGCAGTTGTAATTGTATTCAATGAAATATTATCAATCAATATTTTAGATCTTATATGTGTCAAGTATTCTACTTTAGTTCTTTTTATTTAAATATCATATCAACTTGTTACCTGTTTAATTCTTTAGATAAACAAATAAATTCTTTTATGGGTATTTTTAATTCACATTATTGAAGAACATTTAGTTTCCATCTTAGTTTAAGATAAAAATAATAAAATACAATCTTGTTTGCTTTGGTTGTCAAGATTCACTATACGCTTGGAGACTCAGAGAGTGGATATGACTGCTTTGGAATGGCTCCTGGACTCCTAGTTCATCCAGTATATCGCCTTGCCAGGTAATTCTTTTTTTGTCTTTTGAAAATAGTGACTTTGTTCTGGTTTTTTTTTTATATTATTTTTTATTTTTTTAATGATTATAGATACTAAATTAGATACTAATTCTATATTTCCCTTTGAAAATAGTGACTTTGCTATGTTGTTGATTTTTTTTATATTTTATTTTTTGTTTTGTTTGTCTTTTGATGTGAAAATTCTATTTTTGTCGTTGATTTTTTTTTTTTTTTTTCTCCTGTCAAATACACTATGCCCCCCCGGAATGAAATCCTGGTTCCGCCCATGCATATATATACACTAAATATGCTATAATGATACAATTAAGCACATAATGTGATACCCCCGGATTTCCGGATGCGGGTTGGCCAGGCCCACGCCCGACTACCCGAGGATATCAAACAAATTAGCAATAAATGAACACAGAGTACAATTAAGATAACAAGAATAAATAAATTTTGTTGAAAAGAATCTAGAATAATAATCCAAAACTGAAAACCTCATAATAAAATTTTATAAATAAAGTATTAATCTGATATATCCAACTTTTCCAATTCTAATACAACTCGGGAATCCATCTGATGGACCCCTTGTAAAACCAACACTGAGAAACGAATCACCGGAAAGGAATCCAATACTACACCATGCAGGAACCACCTATGTCGTCGGTAGAGTGAGTAGTCGTCTCTGCTCAGCACGAACAAGCTCTAAGACTTGGAATCGTCTATTACCTAAAAAATAATAGTGGGTCAGGCCCACGAACAAGTTCTATCCTAACTACAATCCAAACAGAGACCCGATACGCAGATACATCCTAGATGTCTCAACCATATCTATATAGTCCCTAATAGATAAATATATATCCACACTACAGGACTCTCACTAAACTATGCTGAGGGTCTCAATCTGAATAGAAGGCAACATGCAATACGCACCTGAGTGGGCATGACTACCTAAGCCTAACAGGGCATACCTCAATCAACATAGCTAGTTACGAATCCTACTACATATACGCACCCTAACCGTCGACTATGAGACCCAAGCTCAGATCGCGGTACCATAATAATATATATAAAATCCGTTCACATTCATCCATAAGAAATCCAGTAAGTCGTTCGGCGTATTCAACCACACCGACTCATATATATAAGGAGGATTTTATTTAACAACCCCTACCCTTATTCCAAAATAGGTAGGACTGAGTATTTTGAATCAATTTGTCCCTAGTATGTCACCGTCCCATACCGGTGCATACAATCCACAAAATCCATAAAATTGATTGAATAAGTAAAACTGTTCACCAATTAAAATCCATAAGGTAGGAATTAACGTTTTTGAGCTAAACCATACCTAGTATGTCACCGTCCCATATCGGTGCATACAATCCTCCATATCCATGTAAATTACAACATATACATAATAGTTTAGCAATTTACAGTCCAAAACCATTCCAAATAATTGCAGAAGAGTATTTAGTATTTCAGCAATTTAAATCCAAGAGTTAAAGCATATAGTTGCAGGAAACAATTAATAATTCAGCAACTACCATCCAGAGCATGCATAGATCAAATCTAATATATCAATGACTTTATCATGCATTTAAAATAAATTCTATAATCATTTTATAGTTTAATAAATCGGTACATTAATTTAAGTAATTTAATTCCTTCCATCCGGTAACAGCGTACTAAGTTGTATACTTGTATTCTGTCTTATCTTTTAGCACAGAGCCATGCACTATGCCCAAGTCCAATTTATTAATTTAAAAGACTTCACTGTGCTTTTAAACTTAATTTAGAACCATTATATAGCACCCTAAATTGCCAAATTAAAACTAGACAATAAACTTCTTTCCCGCCGTTAACCGCACGCAAAGTTATTAATTAGCGCACTGTTAATTTCATTCACTTAGAGGTCAACCTTACTCAATTTAAAGATTTAATAACACCCTAAACCAACCTTATAATCCCTTTGTAAAACCCCAGAGTCAACAAAACAATTTCCATGCTCCAACAGTAACAATACAGTTCGTAAAAAATAAAATTCTGAAAACACTATTGAAAAGAGCCTTCTCCAAAAAAACTGGAGAAGGCTCTAAACCACCTAGAGCCTTCTCTAAAAAACTAGAGAAGGTTCTAAATCACCTAGAGCAGGCTCCACATTTTAGAGCCTTTTCTTTCTCCCTCTGAGCCTTCTCATTTGCTTCCTATTCCACCTGCATAATTGCATCTCTTATGCACTGAAAGCTTATAACAATACCTAGGTTACATGTTAATCATCTTAGTCTACTTCCCACACAGTTCCAGACTCAAGAATAGTCCACACAGTGCACCCAAAAAACCCACAATCGAACCAAACAACGCACAAAACTGCTTCTGTAAACAAATAGGATCACAGAGCCTTCTCCAAAATAGTGGAGAAGGCTCAATCTCCCTAGAGCCGGCTCTCCCATAAGGGAGAGCAGGCTCTCCTTGCCTAGAGCCGACTCTCTCCCTTTTGAGAGCCTCGACTTTGTTCCCCTTCGTTTCCGACCATCTGTCTCGTCTCCGACCCTTTCCTACCCCTCTGTTCTTCCTTAAAACTTGTCCTCACTGTCTAATATATATATACAATGTTAATCCCCAGTCCTTAATTTACCACAGTACAAAGTTAATATAGTGATATAAACCAACAACCAATTTAATGCTTTGAAACAAGCAACGAAGAACAGAGTTGCAAGAATTGTTTTCAGACAATATGCACTTATACAGATGATCTATTTAACATATTCCAAGCATGTAAGATTCAATTAAAATTCAAATACAATCCTAGAGATCATCAAAGGATGCACAGAGCACAGGCAAAGGGAGAGAGACAGAATAGAACTTGCCTTTCGGTTTCGGTTTGAAACCTTTCAACATCGTTTTCTTTCTAGGTTTTCCGGCGACCTTAGTTGCCATTGAATCTCCTCTACTACTCTTGGTTTAACCCCACGAGCAACTCAGTCATTTCTCCTTGGTCCAACCTTTAATCCATAACGAAAATCCTAACGAAACTCTCTCTCTCTCTCTTCCTCACAATACCCTCTCTGTTTCTCTATGTCTCTATATATGAATAGGGTTTTAAAAAACCCTTTGCAAAATTATCATAGTATATTTATAGGCACAAATAAAACCTACGTCTACTTATATTCAGAGATGGAATCCCAACTAAACCCTAGTCGGCCAATTTTGTTATACGATTTAAAACCGTAGAATTTATAACACACCTTAAATGACGGTAATATTATAATTTAATTAATAATAATTACTAATTATTAACCTAATCCACATATACATATATTCCCATATATACATGTATATATTTCCATGGGTAAATACTGTACCCATTTACACTATCCAAAAGTCCGTGAATCCTAACCAAGCCCAACCTTGTTTTAAAAATAAATAAATAAAATAATGCATTTAATTAAACATTTCAAAGGCCTCTTAAGTATATAATTCAATTAAAAAAAGAATTCAATTAACCAATTAAACATTCCAACACAACAACTAATCATTTAAATCAAATAAAAAAAATTAAACACAAAATCAAATAAAGGATAAAATAATTAAACCCATAATCAAATAATCACACAAAAAATGCCCTAAAAAATAATTTAAATTCTAATTTTATCCTTTTGAAAACTAGGGGTATTACGCATAACTACATAAATATGCTTCAAATAATATAATATGAAATGTAACAATCCTGAAAAGTAATCCGGAGAATGAAAAATTCGGGTGTGGGATCCACCAGGGACCTCCCGGCCTGAAAGTCTGAAAAGTGCCTAAATGGGTCAAAATGCATTCATAAGAGTTATAAACTCAAATAAATGTCCTAAACCACTCTCGGGATCTCTGTGGCACGCTATCCGATGCGTGGCACGCAAAATGAGACACAAAAATAAATAAATTCATAAAATACCTGAAAAATAAAAATTTAAGAAATGTCACAGGTGTACTCCCGCAACATGTTGCACGCCCCTACTGATGGCGTGTGTGTGTGTGTTTTAGTGTTGGGACAATGTTCTATGCATTCGGCGTGTGGTTCTTGACTTTT